TCCAGACGGATTTTCTTTCATATATTTGATGACCGAAGCGCATGTGTTATTGAGATCGAAATAGCTGACTTGACTGGTCACCATATCTTCAGTGTTCATAGTTGAAAATAGGTCATGCATTTCTTTGTCCCAAGGTATGGCAACAACAGGAACAGGGGTATAACCTCGGGTTGGAACAATTAATCTAGTTGGAGATGGAGTTTTGGGGACAACAGTCACTATGCTCTTCTTATGTACAATAGGTTTCAGAATTGCTGGTTGTTGTGGAGGAATCGAAAAATCGAATAAAGTCGGTTGAACGAAATCATATCCACTGTCACTTTTCGTTTCTGCATAATTAATTACAGCAGAACCAACATTGCGTCTACTGGCCCTGGTTTCTTGTTGAATTATTGGTGAAGCAACTGCGGATGGTGGTGGTAGGAGATTTTGTTCAACAACAACAACAACAAGAACTTCTTGCCCTTGATTAGTCGATTCTATATCTGAGCTGCTTGGAATACTGCCAGGTTGAGGACTGTAAAAGTCAGAGTCACACAACCTTTGACTGCCATGTGTTCCTGAAATTGAATCCACAAGAGCTTGCAATTTTGGACCAGCTTCGTCATTGTCTGTAAAATTTAAAATATCAAAATGAGTGTATTGCGGAACACAGAATTAGGAGAAAAAATCGTTTCATGAAACTTAGAATTAGAAGAAAAATTAAATTTATATAACCCAGAATTAGGAAGTAAATTATAATTTCATGCAAATTTGAATTGAGGAAAAATACTAACCTTTTGGAAATAAGTTAATTTGTTTCATCGCTTTGTCTGATTTGTAAGATATAACAGAAGCCAATTTTTGTTTCGCTGATACTGGTGGAGTTTTCATTTTTATGGTCTGCTGCTTTCTCAATTCTGTTTTCTCAAGCAATTTTTTCGAATCCTTAGGATCTTTTTCTGCCAATTTATTACCCTTCGCCAGCTTCATATACTTCGGTTCTACTTTGTCAGCAGAGGACATCACCTCATCAAAAAACTTGCGCTTCAAAGATCGAGATTGACTGGTAGGAGCATCTTGGTCAAAAATGTTGATTGCAGATGGTAATTTTCTGTCAACAGCTTTTATTCCACTTTTCACTAGAAGCTTTTTGAATGTGTTAGTTGCT